AGCAGCCTTGGGAAACACATCTGGCCGACACAAGAAGATCTAAAGACATCCTCACGGACAAGAACCTTCATAAAATGCTTCAGGATACAATTACTAGGAGGGGGAGAGAAGCATAGTATGAAAAACAACACTAAACTCAGCAATCAAATCTCTGCCACTAAATGTGCAAGTTTTAGCTCCTCAGTCTCAGATGCCTCAACCCTCAAAGCAGGGTTGAGCTCAGCAATTTCTCTAACTCATTGCCGCTCTAGCCTTCTGCTTCTGTGCCAACATCTAACAAAAGGAATACCCTGGGGTTTTTTGGGGTTTTTTTTGGAGGGGTGGTTTTTTCCAGTACCGGGAATTGAACTCACAACCTTGCGTTTGCCAGGCAGGCACTATGCCGCTGAGCTAAATCCCCAGCCCCACAAAAGGAATATCCTGAAATGCCGCAGGTGCCAGTTGAAAACCTCCATTTCGGTTTTACTTGCTTAAATACCATTCATTAATTCAAATGAGTTAATGAGAATTTGACTTTTAACGCTACTGATCCCAAAACAAACAGTAAATATGCATTAAATAATTCAGATGCAATTCATGTTTGACCCTACTGTTCACCTATTTGCATTAGGCTCTTTCTACTTCAATAATTTTCTGTCAATCCTAAATTATAATTAAATTTTTGTTCAAAAAAGAAGTCTAGCATGGTGGCACACACCCATAATCCAGCACTCGGGAGGCTGGGGCAGGGGGAATCATTGTGCGTTCAAGACCAGCCTGGGCTACCAAGAGTTCAAGGCCAGACTAAACTGCATAGCTAGACCCTGTCTCAGGGGGAAAAAAAAAAAAATGGGAGCATTAAGTTCGGTGAGTTCATTATCTCCCAGTCTTTCACCTCTTAGAACCCGTACAAATTAGGACTCTGATGCACCTATCCATTACTGCATACCTATTACCTGCCAAACACTCCTTTGACTTTGTGATGCCCTAGGATTTTTTTTTTTTTTTTTTTTGTGGTACCGGGGATTGAACTCATGATCTTGCACTTGCCAGGCAGGTGCTTATGCCACTGAGCTATTTCCCCAGCCCGCCCTAGGATTATTGAAGCACACTTTTTAGGGTTCTCACAAATATGTCAAAGCTATAGCTCTGTCTTCACTTGAACTGTGTACTTTGTTCCTCACAGTGAATAATGAACTAAAAAGGACATTTCCAAGTAACTCTAATACACTACTGTTTTTCCTCAATGAGAAAAAAATAAAACAAAAATGTTGAGGATGTTACACTACACAATTACTTTCAGAAAAAGGGACAAATTACACCATTCAAAAATCATAACTTGGGGGCTGGGGATTTAGCTCAGCGGCACAAAGCCTGCCTGGCAAGCACAAGGTCATGAGTTCAATTCCCGGTACCAGAAAAAAATAAAAATCATAACTGCTACCGCCGGGCATGGTGGTGCATACCTGTAATCCTAGCACTCGGGAGGGCTGAGGCAGGAGGATCATTGTGAGTTCGAGACCAGCCTGGGCTACAAAGTGAGCTCAAGGCCAGCCTGAACTGCATAGCGAGACCCTGTCTCAAAAAGATAAAAAGAAAAAAAAATCATAACTGCTTAACAGATATTCTAGTTTTGGAAGGAGAAAGGTAACATATTTCATTTTCAGATTAAAAAATATTTTCTAACAATTCAAGAGGAAATTAACCACTGCTTAAAATAAAAATTTGCAAATGGCTTAATTTTACAAGACTGAGGTCAGTTCAGAATGTGAATTTTGAATTCTTTTGTAAATCAGTGCATAAAATTTGTAATTAATTGGCTGGGGGGAAAAAGACCTCAAAATTTGCAGCAAAGGAAATGAAGTGCTAAACATTATACAATGAAAATCTCTCTTTTTTTAAACCTAGTGCTGGGATAAGAGAACCAACTTTTGAACTATAGTATTCAGGCTGCCTCCAGATTTTTAAATCATACTTAAGGTTTTAGAAACTATGGCCAGCGGGCTCCTAGTGCCTATCTCTCCCAGAGGGCAGACGAGACTCTGCTCCACAGGACACCTGCTTCTCTGCCCTATCAGATACCTCTTCCTCCACTCTCCACAGCCTGCAGAAATGAACAAAGGTCAGGCAAGCCCCCCAGGGAGCCCTCTGACACACACACACACACACACACACACACACACCCCGCCCAGTCCAGGGGAAGAAGTGAACCAGATTGAGGTTCTCACAAATGTGAACTAGGAAATGTGACCAGAACAGGTCACCTAGAAACTGAGAAGAACACAACAAGAAATGCCACAAAGTTGAACCAGAGCCAGAAGGGCTTCGGCCAGCTGAGAAAGCACATGAGCTGAAGCCACAGGGGAGGGGAATCGCAAGTGAACAGAGAAGCCAATTGGTGGCAGGACAAAAAGGCTCTGGGAATGGAGTGTGACAGGGCACCACTGGGTGAAGTTCCAGGGACAACTGCCGCAGGAGCCCCCAGAGCTGCCAGGAACCACCCTCCACTGCCAGGCTCCAGCCTGGCCCAGCTGAAATTCCTACACTTTTGTGTGATTTCTATCATATCACATGTGCTGCCACTAACAAACCTCCCTTTCAAACTGGCTGCAGTGCGTCTTCACTCCACACAATCAAAGCCGAATCTACACAAAGCATGTAGACAGGAAACCACCCTCCTGCTAAAGTCATTGCATAGAACACAGGGCAACCTTATATATTTAAAGGAAAGGCAGAACTGGTTTTTTTTGTTGTTGTTTTTTGTGGGGGTTTTTTGTCTTTTTGAGACAGGGTCTCACTATTGCAGTTCAGGCTGGTTTTGAGCTCACTTTGTAGCCTAGGCTGGCCTCAAATTCGCAGCAATCCTCCTGCCTCAACCTCCTGAGCCCTGGGATTACAGACGTGCACCACCACACCCAGCCCAAGGCAGAACTGTTTTTAAGAAATATCCATATCCCACACACAAACAAGGCTCACAGCTCACAGGGAAGGGGTACAAAGAAACTTTTTGGCTAAAGGATGTAAACATGTTCTGTCTTAAAGGCATAGTTGATGACTCTTGTTAAAGCTGATTAGACTACACAGCTAGTAACTGACCATTTCACTGTATGCAAATTTTACTTCAACTTAAAAGTAGTCAAACTTCCCCTTGTCCCATTGAAAGGATTTGAATTTTTTTCTCTTTTGTGATGCTAGGGATACAGCCCAGGGCCTGTACGTGCTAGGCCAGTGCTCTACCACTGAGCTACACCTCTAGCCCATTATTTTGTTTTTCAAGGCTTTATTGATCTTAGCCGGGCGTGGTGGAGCATGCCTATAATCCCAGCACTTGGGAGGCTGAGGCAGGAGGATCGCTGCAAGTTCAAGACCAGCATGGGCTACAAAGTGACTTCAAGGCCCGCCTGAACTGCATAGCAAGACCCGTGTCCAAAAAAAAAAAAAAAAAAAAAAAGACTATTGATCTTGGCCAGATGTGGTGGGGCACGCCTGTAATCCCGGCACTGGGTAGGCAGAGGCAGGAGGATCATTCCAAGTTCGAGACCAGCCTGGGCTACAAAGTGAGCTCAAGGCCAGCCTGAACTGCATAGTGAGACCCTGTCTCAAAAAGCCAAAAAAAAAAAAAAAAAAAGACTGTATTGATCTAGACAAAGCTCATAAATATAACACTAAGCTTAAGCAGTCACATCTAGACCACCTGAGTTTCTATTTATATAAAGAACAGAAATAGGTAAGAGTCAACTTTGGTGTGAGAACACAAGATCTAGGCTCACTTGGAAAGGGGGGTAAGGGCTGGGAACACAGTGCCATGGCGGAACAACAGTTTGGAAAGGGTGGGAAGCAGGAACCCAAAGGCACAGAACAGGAATTCTTTTTTTTTTTTTTTTTCTTTCTTTGGTTTTTCTCCATTACCGGGAACCGAACTCACGACCTTGCGCTTGCCAGGCAGGCGCTTTGCCGCTGAGCTAAATCCCCAGCCCCAGGAATTCTTAATAGGCTCACAGGCTGCTCATGCTCTGCCCCCCAATCTTAGCACTAGTAACACAAGTATGTGTTCTGATAACATGTATGTTACTGATAGATGCACTTTTCCTGTATGATCATATATATAGTGGTGTCTCGGTTCACAAACTTAATTAATTCTTTCCATGATTCTGGTCCCAAACCAAGTTAGACAAGAACCAAAGCAAGTTTTTCCATAAGATCAGCAATGAACTTAACCCACTGAATTTGATTTAGAGATGATAGATACAGATAGATGGATATCTCCTTAGTAATAACACAAAAGGGGAAGAATATCCTATAACAGTTTAAAAGTGATTGGAAAAGGTTTGTTTTTTTTCTCTAGTAAAATATTTTTCGGCCAAATTCTTCAGGTAAGTAATTTTAAAAAGACCTTAGTTCCCCGTTTGTGGAATTCTAAATTGACTCATGGGTCAATTATTAAGTGGAAACTCATTCAGAGTGGGTTAATAGTTCAAGTAAAACTCCATCCTACAATGCTCAGTTCTGAGACACCCATTGTGAATTCACCTGTAACCAAAGTACTCTTCCAAACTAGCAGCAAAAGCAAGAAACCACACTTCATAGCCCTTTGTTACTTTAACAAAGAAAAACAATGAGCTGGGTGTAGTAGTGCACGCCTGCAATCCCAGGATTTGGGAAGCTGAGGCAGGAGGATCACCATGAATTTAAAGGTCAGCCTACACTACAAAGTGAGACCCTGTCTCAAAGAAAAACAGCAAAATTCACAGGAAGTATTTAGTCATAATCCCACTTCTGTGTTTTAAAAAGGAGCATTAACACAAATCCACACATTACTCTGATATGCACTTTTTAAAAACTGCAGATTTTGATTATCAGAGGCTTATATTTTAAAAACACATTACATACTCTAGATACAGCTCATAAACCTAAGAGTAGAATTAAGTGAAGTAATAGAGACAAACAATGAATATAAGTTTACAGATAATCAAAGTCTAACACTGAAAAAAATAAGAGTAAAGTGAAATATGGATACTTACAGCCATAATTAATTCAAAAGGGTGTTTATACACCCTCACGGGTGACTGGTATTTCTGCACCATGATTGCAGTATGACAGCAATCCTCTCACACCTGCAAAATAATACACATATGTGATAAATAAGCAGGATACAGGAAAAAATTAAATCTGCATTAACATATCATACCACCTTCTACGGTGAAAACAGGCCCACAATGCACTACACAAAAATCAAAATCAATCCGGGCGTGGTGGTTCATGCCTGTAATCCTAGCACTCCAGAGGCTGAGGCAGGAGGATCACTGTGAGTTCAAGCCCAGCTTGAAGTGCATAGTGAAACCCTGTCTCAAAAAGACAAAAAAAACAATCAAAAGACATACTGAAGGGGGCTGGGGATTTAGCTCAGCGGCACAGCGCCTGCCTGGCAAGCACAAGGTCGTGAGTTCGATTCCCGGTACCAGAAAAAAACCAACACCAAAAAAAAAAAAAACCATGATACTGAAATATCCAAGCGCAGGGGGAGGTAATAAAATAACTAAAAACCAGTGAAAAAAGCCCAAGTGGAATGAGGGAAAGCAAACTGGTCTAAGGACAGAGGCCTCAATCCCCCTCAACGCAGCTCTGGTCCTCAGCAATAGGACCTGGTACAGTCCAGCTATAAAGTGTTAGAGTTCTATTATTCTAATCACTTTCTCATGAACAGTTTATACTAAGAGCCAAATAAAAATGGTAACACATTAAGATATTAGCTCTGAAAAATACTCAAAAATGAAAGTAGAGAAAAAACTATTGTCTCAAATTATGGAATTCGCCTCTAAAGCTAGCTTCACAGAGAACTGTTGTTTCTTGTTCTCTGCATCAGAGACTGTCTTCAAATAGGGAGGCAAGCACCTTGGATAAAGGGGCTCCCTGTAATTACTGCCTCTGGCAGCAGTGATGGTTGTAAGTCAACCGTTCCCCTGCTCATGCCTACCGTACAGAAACACTTCTGAAACTACATAATCACTCTCCAGTGTCAGTCTACGCGGATTCTTCTGAAAACACACACTTGCGTATGGAGTCACCTGAGACTCTTGTTTATTTTAAAATGAGGAAGGAAAAAACAAAAACAAAAAGAGGAACAGATTAAATCCAGTGAGCCTACCTGTCCTGCTGAGGATAATTTTTTTTTTTTTTTTGGTACCAGGAATTGAACTCAGGACCTTGTGCTTGCCAGGCAGGCACTTGTGCTGCTGAGTATAATCATTAAGAGTATTATTTTAGGACTGGGGGTACAGCTCAGTGGCATAAGCACCGGCCTGGCAAGCGCAAGTTCCTGAGTTCAATCCCCGGTGCCGCAAAAAAAAAAAAAAAAGTATTATTTTATGCTGAATATGGTTAAGAGAATATTCAAACGTACAAAACTGAATATCCTCAAGGATCCTAACCAAAGTCTAGCTGTAAAAAAAAAAGAAAAAGATAATGTATTTCATTTTACAAAACTGTTATCTGTATTACTGTATTTTTATAATGTTTACTTTAAACTGATCTGCAACTTGCTCTATACCTCTCAGGCAGTAGCAGATTATGCTGGAAAACAACTATCCCACAGTCAGAAAACGGCTAAGGAATAACTGAGCGACTTTGAGCAAACCACTTTTCTTCCCTAATCCCGTCTGTGAAAACCGAAGTTTGGAACTGTGGATCTTGAAACACTTCCCGCTCTAGCATGGTAAATGAAAATCACAGCGAAACTCCAAGCTGTCCTCCAAACTCGACTCAAAGCCTACATTAATCTTGATTCTGGGGCTGACACGTCCTGGTGCGCCGGGACCAGGTTCTGTTTACATTTGCCAACCCTACAAATGCTGGTGCACAGTGGGAATCTAGTAAGATTTTCAAATTTTAATTGGGAAAATTAATTTTAAGGTATGTCCTAGATAACACGATGGCCCGGTACAGACAGGGGTAGGAAAAGAACGCAAGAACGCGTGATGCTCGCTTAAGAAACTGTAACATCCATTCCGGATTCCACTGCGTGGCGGAGCCCAAAGAGCCTACATTGTAGAACCTGCTAATTCACCAGCTTCTCGGAACCCGGGCCAGTTCCCAGCTTCGGATGCTCAGGTTCAGATAAACACCCTGCGCGGGCATCCGGAGTGACCAAGACCAAGTGGCATCCAGAACCTGGGCTGCCCCTATTTCAAAACCTAGCAAGGACCAGACAACTCCCCGGGGGACAACTCCCCGCAGGCTCAGGGGCTCCGGAGGGGTCCTGAGCGGCCGACGGTGGCGGCGGGCCGGCACTGGCGGCGGACCCCAACTATTCCCGCGGCAAGGGGCTCCTAAGAATGGGGGCCGACAGGGCGCGGTGGGTGCGAGGGCCCGCTCCAGCTTGTGCTTGGGGCCGGCAGCACTGCTGAGCTGCCGGGAGAGTCAGGGGGCCGCGCGGGGGGCACCGGGCCGGCGGGCGGGGACCAGGGGCGCATTCGGAGCCCGCCGCGGCGACGCGCGCCTACCTCGTGTCAGAAAGGCCGAGCCGGGGACTCGGGGTGGCGGCGGGCCCTCATGCTGGCGGCTCCGCGGTGTCCTCGCCGTTCCACAGTTCGGCAGCCGCCACTAAACCGCCGGTTCGGGGGAGGGGGGCTGGGACCAGAGCAAAGAGGGGCGCGGCGAGGGCTCGAATGGTTGTTACGGTGACGGGGAGGGCGGGGCCGAGCGCCGGAAGGAGTGCGCGTGCGCAGACGCGGCCGACTAGGTGGAGGCGGGAGCCGGTGGGGGTTGTTAAGAAGGGGGAGGGGTAACAACTGGGCTGGATCCGAACTGCGCAAGCGCATCTCCAGAGGGCGTGGGAGAAGCTCTGGAGGACGTCCGCTCTGAGGCACCTGGGCTCAGGCCAGAGACCCCGCCAGAGGGCCCGTGGCTCCTCCCAGTTGTGCGTCATGGGGCGGGGTCATAGCAATGGGGCGGGCTCGCGGGGAGCGGGTAGGGGTGGCGCGAGACACAAAGGGCTGAAATCCAGACCGCGGATGTGGGACCGGAAAGTCTGAGAGCTGACCGAATACCATGGCCCTGGCGTTCTGCTACCGCCCAGGGCTCTTCTGCCTCTGGAGAGTCCCCCTGAGCGCCCTCATTTTTTGTTTCAGTGCACTGACCATAGTGTCACAGGCAGATGGAGAGGAAGCAAAGACGGGGCTGGGGAGGGACTGCGCCGAGCCCAAGGGCGTCTTTGTCAGCCTTCTGGACGTGTCTGGTAGAGGGAGGCTGCGATGGAACGGAGACACGAAGCGTGGGTCTTCTGAGCCGCTGTGGAGTCTCGAGTTTCAGCAGGAGAGCATCAGTCCCGGCTCCATTGTAAAAACCTGTGTCATGACACATTGAGACATGGCAGGGGTCCATAAGAGGGGTCACCTGGCACGTCCACCCACACAGCGAAGCTGTTTCCATGACCAACATACAGTTTCTCCGTCAATGTCACTGTTGTTCCGTTCACATTAGTCACCGGAGGTGGCTGTACATTTGAGGCAGCCATTGCACAGAACATTTTTGGAACTGTTTTGGAATTTCCTTCAGGGCCTGTTTACCAGGCACACAAGCAAATCATTCATTACTTGATCTCATCTTATTTTTCTACTCAAACCATCATTTTCCAGCTTGATCACGCGCATTATTTACTAAACTTATTCTGGCTGACTTTTGCCTGTGTACAGATCATATTCATCTTCAAAAGATGCTTTGAAAAAGAGACAGCTCAGGTATGATGAGCCTCCTGCTAGCCTGAACAACAGTATCCATTGAAATGGTCTTGCGGAAAAATTAACCTCCGCTGAGTCCCTTAACATGTGTTTACAAGAAATAGAGGACAGAGGAACACGCTAAATGACACCATGGAAAACAATCCAAAAAGTGTCCTAAAACAAATAATAAAAGAAACTGGGAAATTTATTGAGCCATACACTTATGATTTATATTTTTCTATGTATATTATCTTTCAATTTTTTTTTTTTTTTTTTTTTTTGTTGTTGTTGTTTTTCTTTGGTTTTTTTCCAGTACCAGGAATTGAACTCACGACCTCGCGCTTGCCAGGCAAGTGCTGTGCCACTGAGCTAAATCCCCAGCCCCTTATCTTTCAAATTTTAAAGAAAAAACACAAATCATCAGCCTATTGAAATATATGAACTTTATTTCCATCTAGATTTGAACAAATAAAATAGTAAAAAAAAATTTTTTAAACATATTTGATGCTAGGGATTGAACCCAGAGTCTTCTCACAGGGCTACATCCCCAACCCTTTTTTTTATTTTTTTATTTTTTTGTCTTTTTGAGACAGGTGTCGATATGCAGCTCAGGCTGGCCTTGAGCTCACTTTGTAGCCCAGGCTGGTCTCAAACTCCCAAGGATCCTCCTGCCTCAGCCTCCCCAGTGCTGGGATTACGGGAGTGTGCCGCCACGCCTGACCCAACCCCTTTCTTTTAAAACTTTCAGACAGGGTCCCACTAAATTTTCCAGGCTGGATACAACATGTAATCCTGCCTCACCCTCCCAGAATGCAGGAATTACAGTAATGGGGCCCCACACCTGGCTTAATAAAAATAACTTTAAACAGGCTCATGTAAGCATTATTTGAACAAATAATAGTATTAAGAAATTATTACTGATTCTTGAGATAATGTAATAGAATTATATCTAGTATTCCTTAAAGAAGACTTTAGTTGGAGATGTAGCTCCAACTAGCTTTAACTGGAGATATTTGAGCCCCAGCACCACATAAAAATATTAAACAAGACCGGGTGTGGAGGCGCATATCTGTAATCCCAGCACTCAGGAGGCTGAGGCAGGAGGATTGTTGCAAATCTTAGACCAGCCTAGGCTACAAAGTGAGTTCAGGACCAGCCTGAACTGCATAACAACACCTTGTCTCAAAAAGATTAAAAAAAAAAAAATTTAAACAAACTTTGTCTTTCAGGAATATACACTGAAATATTTTTGGGTGAAATGATACAACAATGCATGAGATTACCTTCAAAATAATTCAGATGGAGTAAGAGACATGAAAGTATAGATGAGCCAGCATTGGCCACAAGTTGATAACTGTTCATTATACTATTCTTTCCACTTTTGAATATGCTTGAAATTATCCATGCAAAAAGGTTTTGAAGAAAAAAGACATTTATTGCTACCAAAGTGAAAAACGCAAGATAAAATTACAAAAGAGATATTTTTCAAAAAGTCTTAGCCAGGCGTGGTGGTGCATGCCTGTAATCCCAGCACTTGGGAGGCTGAGATAGGAGGATCATTGTGAGTTCGAGGCCAGCCTGGGCTACAAAGTGAGTTCAAGGCCAGCCTGAACTGCATAGTGAGACCCTGTCTCAAAAAAGACCCAAAAAATTTTTTAAAAATATGAGAAATTTAAAAAAAATAAAAATAAAAAATCTTCAACAATATCTGTGTCTCTGAAATACATGAGCAAGGGGACTGGGGATTTAGCTCGGCAGCACAGTGCCTGCCTGGCAAACACGAGGTCGTGAGTTCGATTCCTGGTACCAGAAAAAAAAAAAAAAAAAAAAAAAGGAATATATGAACAATTTCTTGGCGGTGGGGTTCTTTTTTTAAAACAGGGTTTCACTATGCAGTTCAGGTTGTGTTGAACTCACATTGTAGCCCAGGGTGGCCTCAAACTCACAACGACCCTCCCGCCTCAGGCTCCCAGGTGCTAGGATTACAGGCGTGCGCAATCATGACCAACTTAGATGTAGAACTTTTGACACTTTTCTTTTTTTCTTTCTTTCTTTTTTGGGAGGGTGGTGGTAGTAATGGTGGTGTTGGTGTTAGACACTGAGCCCAGGGCCTCAAGCATGCTAAGTAGTTGATCTACCACTGAGCTACACTTGTGTCCCCTGTTTGATAAACAATCAATTTTATTGGGCTGGTATCCCATATCTATAAGAATTTTTAAAGAAGCTGGGTGTGGTGGCTCACGCCTGTAATCCCAGCACTGGGGAGGCTGAGGCAGGAGGATCCTTGTGAGCTTGAGACCAGCCTGGGCTACAAAGTGAGCTCAAGGCCAGCCTGAACTGCACAGAGAGACCCTGTCTCAAAAAGACAAAAAAAAAAAAAAAAATTTTTACAGATCAGTGTGCCCTGGAATTACATGAAGAGACCCAGTCCTTATGGTCTTCCCACATATGCGTGGAGCTCTCACTATGGGTCAGCCACTGTGAGGCATAAGGTTGGCTGTGGCACGAATGGGGGCAAAGGGATGTGTGCTGAGATCAGGTTTGGCTGCCAGTGTCCAAACCCCAAAGTAAGAGTGATGAAAAGAAGTTTAGGTGCCTTTCCTGTGAATGAGGTCCAGGGCTGGTAAGGTACCCCCATGATCACTGTCAACTGCTGTAACCTACTGTAACCACAGCCACCTACCAAACCAAAGCTAGGGTGGCAAAAAACAAAACAAAGCTAAGGTGGCCAGTTATACTGAGGACACTCTTGGTGTCTCAGAAGCTAGGGTCTAAGCAGTTTATTCCAGGTTTGGGTGTTGTGGCTCCAGAGCTCAAGGCAGGGATCTCAAAGGATGGGGCCAACCATTGTTCAGGCCTGGAGGACAGACACAATGAGGTCTTGAGTCAAGATAAGTAATCAGCTGTTTGATAAATGAGCTCTTTGCCTAGGAAGAGCAATCTGTCAGACTGGGTGTGGGGTTATTGCCAAAACGAGCAATTTTTTTTTGGAATAAGTTCTTTTCTATGAATTTTCTGAAACAAATAGGGATTAAACTATTGGTTTATGGTCTCATCTCCCTGAACAAGAATCTGGATCAAATAGTTGCACAGGAGATCTTAGACCTCAGTCCTGACACTTAAATGATGTGGTGCAGGTGTCTCATTATTGGGGACATAATGAGTTCATTATTGGGAACTCCTTCTGTCTTGCTGCTTTGCTATTATCTTCTATCTTGAGTTAGATGGTAAGAAGAGGTACCGGAGAAAAAGCAAAAAAAAAAAAAAAAAAAAAAAAAGAAGATGGTAAGAAGAACGGATGAAGGTAAAACCTCCTGCTTTGCAGATTGCTTCCTTGTAGGTAGGGTGTGTGTGTACACAGACTCGTCAAGATTCAGGAGCAAGCCAGGCGTGGTGGCACACTCCTGTAATCCAGCACTCGGGAGGCTGAGGCAGGAGGATCGGTCTGATTTTGAGACCAGCCTGGGCTACAAAGTGAGCTCAAGGCCAGCCTGAGCTGCATGGCTAGACCCTGTCTCAAAAAAACAAAAAAAAAAAAAAAAAAAAAAAAATTCAGGAACAGAGGACAGACCACTGAGAGTTGAGGAAGAAATGGACACCAGAAAGGTGGGGTGAAAACTCAGTCAATAGGATGAAATACAATCTCCTTACAAAAAGAAGAAGCAAGGGGCTAGGGATTTAGCTCAGTGGCACAGCGCCTGCCTGGCAAGCGCAAGGTTGTGAGTTCGATTCCCAGTACTGGGGGGGGGGAGAAAAAGCAACAGGGGGCGGGGATATAGCTCAGTAGCACAAGTGCCTGCCTGGCAAGCACAAGGCCCTGAGTTTGATTTCCAGTACTGAAGAAGAAAAAGAAAAAGAGGGGGCTGGGGATTTAGCTCAGTGGCACAGTGCCTGCCTGGCA